CGCAGGCGGCACCTCCGGGGCGGCGCGGGGCCAGCAGTGCGCGTGCGCCAGGGGCGGGGCGGCGTCGGGGCGGGGCGAGCGCACAAAGCCAGCCTCTCGAAGGGGCGCTACGGGGAGCGGCGAAGGGCAGAATGCCTCGGGCCGGCCCAACGCCTTAAAGGGACCGCGTGCTGCGCGCGCTTCCTGCTTAAAAGCGTGAACGCCAAAGGTGGCCGGTGCGTCCCCTTCTTGTCCTGCACTTTCTAAAAACGGAAGTAGGATGATACCTACAGGAAAGGCTAGCGTGCCCCTCGCATGTTCACGTCCCGAGCTCGCCCCGCGAGGCGCCTCCGGGGAGGAGCACCGCTCCTCTGCGGGATTGGAGGGGCAACGGGGCCCTAACCTTTCTTCTGGGATGGGCACGTCCGGGATCGCGTCCCTCCTTCCTTGTGGCGCTCGCTGATGGGCGGCAGCTAACGCGTGCAGAGCGTCTAGCCGGCCCTGGCCGTGCTCGGCGCGTAGTATCTCAATTAATGCTCGGACACCTCTGCACAGGGGTCCTTACCTTCTACTTTGAAGCCAGGAACCGGAGCTCCGAAAGGCTCAGAATCCCTGCACTGCGCCCACGACCTCTCCCGCAGGGCCGGCTGCCTGGTTGGTGCTCTTCCCGCCTCCACGCAGAGAGCCCGCGGGGCGCACCTGCTTCTCTCCTGCGCCCCCCAAGAAGGAGAGTCAATACTAACAGTCACTGCATGCAGGCTGCTCTGCTGTCTGCAAGGTGATGTCACAGACAGGTAGGCTCACCTCCAGTTACAAATGTGGAAGGGGACGCCAGAGAGGAGGGCTCAGGGCCATGAGGAGAACCTGGAGCCACCGTTCTGGCCCTAAGTCTCGCGCATTCTCACTCTGCTGCCCTACTTCTGCTGCCCACTTGGGGAAGTGGTGATGGTCTCCGCAGCTCCATGGCCTCAACCCAGGCCTGTGGGTAGAATTACGTGCAACCTATTTCCCAATTAAAAATGGGAACACCAAATACGACACAGGAACCTGTGCAAACAGAAGGACAGAGCGTTTGAAATGGAAATGCCCAGAGAATGTGCATGAGGTGTGTGGTTGTCAGATGCAGGAGCCAAAGACTGGTGGCTTATCTGGAGCCCCCCACGGAGGAAGCAGGGGCAGCAAAGGCCCCATCTGGCCCTGGCATGGTTCCGTGTGGATCTCTGTACCCAGGAGGCCTAGTCACCTTGGGCCAGGTGCCCTGGAGCATGAGGCGGTGATTATCGAAGGTAGTCGCAAAGGCAGCTCAGGGTGAAGAAGGGCATCTCCATCCGCCTGGCTGCCTGGGCCGGAA